TAGAAATGAGGTCTCGCTGCCCAGGCGGGTCTCGAACCTGCGGGCTCAGGCAATCCACTCACCTCAGCCTCCCAAAGGAGTGGGATTACAGGCTGATCCACTGAGCCCGGCTTAGTATTGTTTTAAATGTTGTTTAAGAAAAATCAAAGAATGAGATTCCTTCTTCCTAAAGAGTAATTGGATAGAATTTCTGGTGTTAGAGTATAGCATATAACTGACTACACTTTGTAACCATGCTGTTTATTCCCGTTGCCCCACATGATAATTACTTATTTTTGTTTTCCTTTTTACAGAAAAGCATCGAGGATTTGCTTTTGTTGAATTTGAATTGGCAGAGGTGAGAAAAGTCTGTGCTACCTATATTTAGTCTTTGGTTTGTGTTATTGTTACTGATTGCAAAAGAAGCTGTCCTCCAATTTGTGAGGCTTCTGGGCCTTGAGCTGATGCTGCCAGAAACCAGAATTCTGTTTGAAGGAAAGCTTCTTTCACTTAATCAGACTGTAGACTGTTAATCACTTCTGAGATCGTCTGCCCCCACCCCTATTCCTTGCTCTGGAGAGCTTTTACAGCCCTGATCATTGAGCATTCTTACCTGGAAGTGCTGGTGATTATTTCTTATGCCTTCAGCAGGATGGCAGATTGCTGTACCACTAGATCTAAAGTTAACCAGGGAGCACTCTTTATTAGACATATAAAACCTAGGTAGGAAATGTAGAAGTGGCATTTTCCTATTTTTTTGTAACTGAGCATGTGTTTAAACACAACAAGAAGCAAATGACTGCAAGCCTAAATTTGTACCTTGTGTTTCCTTGGCAGGATGCTGCAGCAGCTATCGACAACATGGTATGGCTGGAAATCATCATTCTAACTGAAGTTGCTTTTTGGTGGTATAAAGAATCTTTATTGATATGTTGGTTTTCTAAACCTCCAAAGTTACAGGGTTGCATAGGAAGGTAAAAACTGTCATGTGAAATTATCCACTGTGAATTGGTCACTTATAAAATTAGTCCTTATTCAGACATCCTTTCTCACTTAACAATAATATAAGTCCTGGCTGCGCTCAGTGGCTCAGCCTGTAATCCCAGCACTTTGGGAGGCCAAGGCTAATGGATTGCCTGAGCCTGCGGGTTCGAGACCCGCCTGGGCAACTTGGCAAGACCTTGTTTCTACAGTAAATCAAAAATTAGCCAGGCGTCGTAGCGTACGCCTGTAGCTCCGTCTACTTGGAAGGCTGAGGCGGAAGGATCGCCAGAGCCCAGCAGGTTGAGGCTGCTGTGGCCGGAAGCATGCTACTGCACTCCTGTCTGGGCGACAGAGTGAGACTCCAACTCAAAAAAAATAATAAGATAATAATAAAGTCCTGATCATTTTTATTAGCCAAACTCTTACTGACTGTCGCATGTCTGGGATAATAAATTGCAAGCACAATGCAAATTGAAACTGCATATTTTGCAAAAGAGGCGGGTTTTCATGAAGTGTTAGACCAGTTAACAATTGAGAAGAGACACTTAATAAGGATTATGGCAGGTGCAAATCACTGATGGAAATGATTTTATATCGGAAAGATCCTTGGGAAAGGTAATGGCACTCTTCAGTATTTTTGCCCTTCTTGAGATCATTATAATTTTTATGTCTGGTATGAAGGACAAAGTTTTCTATACTATACTATTGTTAGATTTTGTTAGAAAAAATACTTTAAATAGCACCTGTTATATTTGTATTGTACAAATTAATACATAGTTAAACCTGAATATTAACTGCAAGAAACTTATTATTTTTAGTTTCATCACAATAAAGTTCCAGTCAAGCCTTTTTTGCTCTTCACTTTTATCATGAAATTTTCATCACTGCTTTAAGTGGTTTTCTATTAAGTGACCTTTCCTGGTACCAATTATCTTTGGATAATGAGATTCTCCTTTATTCCTTGTTCTCTGTTATCCATTCACTAAATATATTCCTCAGCTGTCAAAAAGAGATCATTTTTCACCATTTCAAAGCTGATCTTGACTTTTGAAGGTGAACTCAGGTACTGAGAGATTGTATTATCCTTGTAATTTTAGAGTGCTCTGATCTCAGAGTTACTTTGGGTAGTACAGGTCTTTGTGCTGGTATTAGAAGAAAGGAAGTGTGTCATCCTGAACCCTACAACCTGTTCTGAGGTAGATGCATAGCTTGCTGTTAGGGGCTCAGGGACTAAGGGGGACAAATCATGAGCATGTCTCAGAAGTAAATGAAAAACTGACTGACTCTTTTTTAAACTAATAGAGTCTAAGCAGAATTTTCAAAAATCTTTACAGAATGAATCTGAACTCTTTGGGCGTACAATTCGTGTCAATTTGGCCAAACCAATGAGAATTAAGGAAGGCTCTTCGAGACCAGGTGAGGGGGAGCAACTCCCAGATTCCTTGTGATGTCTAGTAATTTGACCTTAGTTGCATTTGTATACCTATTTACTTGAGCGTATGTGCTAAATGCTGCTTCTTGGTGGACAGGGATAGAGGATGGTTCACATGGGCTCCATCATTGTGGGGAAACAAAAAGAGAATTTGAGCTTCTCAGCAAAGTGAGAGCACTTGTTTCTTTTATGCAAGAAAGGCTGCTTGATCCTTTATCTTTCCCATTTTCTCAACACTCCATTCCTGGGGGTTCCATCAAGGGCTTAGGTCTGCCAAGAGCTGAACTTGAGGGCTAACATTCCCAGTAGGAACATTGCTTATCCTTGGGAGTTCTCAATGGTGAGTCCTCTAGCCCAGAGGGCCACATAGTATCTTCCACTTTGCAGACCAAAGCAGCTACTTTTCTGTTCAAGCTGATAGCTTGGGTTTATTAACATTTGTTTGATTCTTTCCTTTCAGTTTGGTCAGATGATGACTGGTTGAAGAAGTTTTCTGGGAAGACTCTTGAAGAGAATAAAGAAGAAGAGGGGTCAGAGCCTCCCAAAGCAGAAATCCAGGAGGTGAGAATGAAGGCTTGTGCTTCCAGAAGTAAAGCTGGTGCTTTCCATGGGAGACTTTTTTTCCCTAAGTTTTTGTAGAAATTTGCAAATATATATACAACAGCAGAGAGAATGAATAATGAATTCTTTATAATTTAGTAAAGTCAATATTGAGTGAGTTAAAGAATGAAGCTTTGGATCTCTTGTTTATGCTTTATTGTATGTGATGAGCATCTCTGCTTTATTAGGTTATGGATCTGTGATTACCGCTGACAATGAGGAAGCTGAGGTGCTCCTCTTCACTCCCTCAATCAGCCCCCCTCCTTCACTGAAGAGTTTAGCGCCTGTCATGACCTTTCTATTCCTGTGCTAATGCAGAGGAGATAGGACAGAATAGTGGCACTTCCTTCCAGCCTGTACCCAGGTTACAGATTCTTCATTCTTAAGAGAACCTGCCTTGGCACTTCCTCTTTATTCTCAGTATATGTCTCTGGCCATTGGTTCTTGGGCTTTTCCTCCTCTAAGTACCTTGTGAATCTTGTCATTCTGTCTTTCTTTCTTTTTTTTTTTTTTTTTGAGTCAGAGTCTCACTCTATCGCCCAGGCTGAAGTGCAGTGGCCTGTTCACAGTTACCGTAGCCTTGACCTGCTGGGCTCAAGCAATCCTTCTACCTCAGACTTCCACGTAGCTAGAACCACAGGCATGTGCTATCACACCCAGCTAATTTTTCTGATTTATTTTAGAGATGAGGTCTTGCCAAGTTGCCTAGGCTGGTCTTGAACCTTGGGCTCAGGCAGTCTTCTCACATCCGCCCCCCAAAGTGCTGGGATTACAGGCATGAGCCACCCTGCCCAGCTATCTTCCTTTCTTTGCTCATGGTTTCTCTCTCTTCTCTCAGCTAAAAAAATAGCAGTCACTCTCTGATTTTATGCAGTCTTCTATGCTGTTGACTTTCATGTTCTGTTTCTAATCCTGCACTTCAGATATTTCTGCCTTCAAGTCTCATAGGCAGGTTAAAGTTGCCTAAAATGCATTCCCTCCCTTCTCTGTTCCTAATCTTGGTAAATTTGCTATCATTTATCTACACGTTGATCCAAGTCATTTGGATGCAAAGCAGAACTCATAAAGTGGCAGTCACAGTCAGTGGAGTCCAACCAGATCATCTTGTTTCCTTTGCTTTGTCTTACCTACTTGAAGCACAAAGCAAGGCCCATTGTCTATGAGCCCTGAGGCCCAAGAAAGAACTGCCCCCCTTGCTTCCTCGTAGCCAGCCTGTGAATGTGCAGGGCCAAGCACAGAGGGAGGAAGTGTAGTATGTGAATGGGTCTGCTTAACTAGAGTATGGCAGGTGGGCTGGAACTGGGGTTTGAAGATGTCGAGAGTTGTGTGTAGTGAGCCAGAAAAGTGCCCTGTGACTGCAGGGTGGGAGAAGCAAGCCGATATGTCTTAATGTGAACTTGATAAGGTGACATGCTATGGGGGAGCTCAAGTTAGACAGTGCTGAGATCTCTTGTCACTGGACGTCCAGCTGGGTGCTATGACCATGACTCCTGCTCCCTGTGATCCTGTCAGGGCCTAAGGCCATCCCTTTCAGCATCTTGTGCCATCCTGTTCACTAGAGTTGTGTTCGAATGTGTGCAGAAGAATGCTTGTGCTCCTAATGGGGGATTGGGAGTTCTCTAACTGGCAATTTCTTCTGCACTCAGGGAGAGCCCGCTGCAAAAAAGGCCCGATCAAATCCTCAGGTGTACATGGACATCAAGATTGGGAACAAGCCGGCTGGCCGCATTCAAATGCTCCTACGTTCAGACATCGTGCCCATGACAGCAGGTGAGCAGGACTCCAGGGTCAAGGCAGCAGGAAGCTGATGACTGAGGAGTGAGCCTTTTCAAAGGTTCTTGCTGCTCAGTTCTTGTACCCTTGACATTGTTTTGTGACCTAAATTGATGTGAAGCATCTCAGATTCTGAGATCTAGTGACAGATCAGATGAGTCAGAGCAGGCATTTTTGAAACTTTGTTGTTGCTGTTATTTGTTATTATAAAGATATGGGGTACAGTTCAGAGTTAGGTATACAAACATTGATTATGCAGGTACCCTTGTTGATGAGGTATATTTTGAAGCTTTAAATGTATTTATTTACTATTGTTTATTAATAGTTTTTTTTTTTTAGTACAAGTAAATGATGCAATCCTGGTTTAAAAAACAGAATGCCGGCCGGGCATGGTGGCTCAGCCTGTAATCCCAGCACTTTGAGAGGCCAAGGCCAGAGGATTGCCTGAGCCCAGGGGTTCAAGATCTGCCTGGGCAACTTGGTGAGACCTCTTCTCTACAGTAAGTTACAAAAAATTAGCTGGGCATGGTGGTCTATAATTCCAGCTACTTGGAAGGCTGAGGCAGAAAGATCAGCTAAGCCCAGCAGGTCGAGGCTGTGGTGGCCGTGAGTGGTGTGCCACTACACTCCAGCCTTGGCGACAGAGTGAGACTCCGACTCAAAAAAAAAAAGGAATGCCACACACATATATTCCAAGAATAGTGAAGCAATATTTGAAACCTTAAGTCTTTCCCCCTCCACATTCAGTCCTGAGCTCTAGCAGTAACTAGTGCTGTTTCTTGTGCATTCTTTCCGGTTTGTTAAATATTGACTTTTATCAGAGTCAATTTCACAAAACTTGTTGTGAGAAATCAGCAGTCCCCTAGTTGTGTACCCCACCACCACCACCATTTGCTGCCGCCTGCAAGGCAGCCAATTTCATTCTTAGCAGATTCCTTTGGTTTTTACTTCCGTGTTAGTAGATAATGAATTTATATTTCTCCTTCCTGGTTTTTCATTTTAGACATTATCTTTTGACTTCCTATTTCAGAAGATAAGAAATTAGCTTTAAAAATGTCCTTCCCTGTTCTCTCATCTTCCTGATATAGTTACCATAATTTTATTTAGATCATAAACAAAATTGTTTTAACCCTTTGCACTCGGAGACATCTTGCGAATCATCTACCAGCAAATGTACCATACTTTTTTACAAAATAGTGAAGAATGAATCACTTCGTATTAAATAGTGTAGCATTGGCACCAGTTATTTTTATTATAATTATATTTGGCTTATAATAGAATTCTAGACATTGAGGAACTTATTTATGACAAAAAAAGTCAAAATTTTATATATTTTTCTAACGTGGTAACGTGTGAAACAGTCACTGACATGTTGCAGGTACACTGATACATGTTGTGCAATAGTAATTTGACATCTTCCACTTGGTGTTTTTCTATTCGAGTAGACAATGCAGTCTTATTTTCTTCTCTCACATTAATAATAGGTAACATATTGTCCAGTCTTGTTCAAAGAAAATGTGGAAAGACACACTCGTGATTCCTGAAAACTACTTCTCAACTGATTAGTCATATCTCAGTATATATTCCATCTCTTTATTTGCTTTTTCATATAATTTGAATGGAAAACTTCAAGGAAACATACATTTTTGAAATATTTGTGCTGGCATAGGTTTGTCCTGTATAATCACCAGCAATCTCTTTATGTCCCTTAAGAGGGACATCTGAGTGGTTTGCCAAATTTAGGATATCTCTTCAGAGGGGACATCCAAGCACAAAGGGTTAACTGTATAAGCATCATGATAATTTCCTTTCATGTAGAGCACTTTGTTTTACCTCAGGTTGATAATGGCCTTATTTTTACATTTGTATGGTTTTCTGTGTATTTATTCCTGGCTCTTACCCAGATATTTTTGCTCTTATAGGCTCTATATCCAACTGTGTGCCATCTTGGTAAGAGGAGATAGAGGCAGGGCTGAATGCCCCAATGTTCAGTAGATAAACTGTTATTTAATCTCCACTTGTCATTATGGTTTCTCAGCCCTCAGCTATGTATAGGGTGTCCCTGTCAAGAGACCCTCTGCCCTAACCTACCAGTAGACCTCCAGCTGACTGCCAGGTAGGGTGGGACAGCAGAAAGAAGATCGGGGATTAACTACTTTTTTAAACGGGATTTTAGCCAGACTTACTGTTTTTAGGATTACCTTCACCCTTGTATGTGAGCTTCTGGAGTGTCGGTTGAGTTGCTTCTTGGCCTTTACCAGCTTTCTCTAGCCTATGATATCAGTTAAGACTCGTCTATTTGTTTTCTGACTTTCAAAATTTTAGTTGCTATTGTTTTTTCTTTCCTATTTACTTTTTGGTGATTTTAACCATTTTTAAGTGTACAATTCAGTGACATTAATTACATTTACACTATTTTCAAAAATTTTTTGTCACTTCAAACAAAAACTCTGTATGAATGGAAAACTTCAAGGAAACATACATTTTTGAAAAATTTTTGTGTTCTTGTTCTTAAACGAGAACTCCCCATTTTCCTTTCCCTCCAGCTTCTGGTAACCTCTAATCTTTCTGGTGCTATGAATTATCCTATTCTAGATATTTCATATAAGTGGAATCATACAGTAGTTCTTTTTTGTGTCTGGCTTGCTTATCTTAGCATAATGTTTTCTTGTTTTCTTTTTTTTTACATTTTGGAGGACTGTATTTCTTTTTTGTGTGTTTTTTTTTTCCAGTTGGAGTCTCACTCTGTCACCCAGACTGGAGTGCAGTGGCTGCTCCCAGCCACCGCAGCCTCGACCTGCTGGGCTCCGGTGATCCTTACACTTCAGCCTTCCAAGGAGCTGGAATTACAGGCGCGCGCTACCACGTCCGGCTAATTTTTTTGATTTATTGTAGAGATGAGGTCTCACCAAGTTGCCCAGGCGGGTCTTGAACCCGCGGGCTCAGGCAATCCACTCACCTCAACCTCCCAAGTCGCGGGATTACAGGCTGAGCCACCGAGCCTGGCTGGAGAACTGTATTTCTATCACACAGGATAAGTAGTATATATTGCTCAGATAAAAAACTAAGAGTTAGAAGGAACCCTGCACATTTTAATGTGTACAACATGGAATTGAAGTGTAAAAAAGCAAAATCTGATTCAGGAGATCTGGAGTAAAACATGAGCTACTGCTTTTGTTTGTTTGTTTGTTTAGTTTGGGTCATCATTTCTGGCATGCAGTTCCTTAATCACAGCTTATTACAGCCTCTACCTCCTTGGCTGAACAGATCCACTCTGCTCAGCATCCTGAGTGACTGGATGTACTCAAATGCACAAGCACACCAGGCTAATTTTTTTATATGGGGTAGAGATGATGGCTGGCTATATTTCCTAGGCTGTTCTCAAACTCTTGTGCTTAATATATCCTTCTGCCTCAGCTTCCTAAAGAGCTGGAATGGCAAGCATGAGAAACTATTCATGCTCTGACTTTCTGCACTGCTAACAAGCTCACCAGTGATGCCAGTGCTTCTGGCCCAAAAGAAATATTTTGTCAGACATTTGCCAAGTGATAGAGCTTGGGTTTATTTCAGTTTATCTGACAAGTAAAAATGAGATCCTTCCGTTTTCTTTTTTTTCTATAATTTCTTGTGGGGTACTGACACCATTTTGATTTATTTTTTGAGTCAGAGTCTCACTCTGTTACCCAGACTGGAGTGCAGTGGCACTCTCATGGTCACCACAGCCCTGACCTGCTGGGCTCAGGCAATCCTTCCAACTCAGCCTTCCAAGTAGCTGGAACTAGAGGTGCGCTAACACATGTGACTAATTTTTTGAGGTCTCGCCAAATTGCTTGGGCTGTTCTCAAACCCACAAGCAATCCACTTGCCTTGGCCTCCCAAAGTGCTGGGATACTGGCTGAGACACTAAGCCCACTCTCTCACATCATTTTCTACAAATGCAGTCAATACAGTGCATGTGCTGATGAAAAATAAAAAACTTATGGAGCAAGTAATACTTCCTAGGGTTGGTAAAAATGGCCCACTAAGCTGGATGCAGTGGCTTATGACTATAATCCCAGCTTTTTGGGAGCTCACAAATTCGAGATCAACCTGGGTAACTTGCTAAGAACTCATCTCTATAATAAAACCAAAATTAGCCAGGCATAGTTGCACGTGCCTGTAGTTTTAGCTACTTGGAAGTCTGAGGTGGAAGAATCACCTGAGACCAGCAGGTCAGGGCTGCGGCGACTACGAGAGTGCCACTGTACCCTAGCCTGGGTGACAGAGTAAGACTCTGAATAATAATAAAAAAGAAAACCAAGAAACGAAGACTATTCACTTCGCAGGACCTTGGATGGATTTCGAGTCTATAATATAAGTGATTGAGCCAGGGATGGTGGCTCTCGATTGTAATACCAACACCTTGGCAGGTGGAAATGAGAAGACTGCCTGAGGCCAGGGGTTGAAACCACCCTGGGCAAGTTGACAAGAACTTCTCTCCACAATAAATTAAAAAATAAAATTAGCCAGGCTTGGTGCCACGCCCCTGTAGTTCCAGCTACCTGCTAGGCTGAGATGGAAGGACCACCTGAGCCCAGCAGGTCGAGGCTGTGGTGACCACTTGGGTGAAAAGGATTCCATAAAAAAATAATAAATTCTCAGTGATGTATCACATAACAAAGATCTGAGTACTATGTGTACTCACTCATAAGTTGACCCTGAACATTATTCAGAATACTATAAGAAAGTGACTGACAATATTGGGACACAACCATGGGAGTGGGAGGATATAATATCAACAAAGGTACCCAAACTTTACATACACCCTAAATTGTTCCATACATTTTATTGTATTTATTTATTTATTTTTTGAGTTGGAGTCTCACTCTGTCACCCAGACTGGAGTATAGTGGCTGCTCCCGGCCACCACAGCCTCGAACTGCTGGGCTTCGGCAATTCCTCCACCTCAGCCTTCCAAGTAGCCAGAGCTACAGGCGTGCAATACCACACCCGGCTAATTTTTTTTTTTTTTTTTGAGTTGGAATCTCACTCTGTCACCCAGACTGGAGTGCAGTGGCTGCTCCCGGCCACTGCAGCCTCGACCTGCTGGGCTCCAGTGATCCTTCCACCTGAGCCTTCCAAGTAGCTGGAATTAATGGTGCACACTACCACGCCCGGCTAATTTTTGATTTATTGTAGAGATGAGGTCTCACCAAGTTGCCCAGGCGGGTCTCGAACCCACAGGCTCAGGCAGTCCACTCACCTCAGCCTCCCAAGGCGCGGGATTACAAGCTGAGCCACCGAGCCCGGG